TTGATTCGACTAAAAACGAAACTAGGGCAGTAGATTAGAGGGCACCGACGGCAATTACACAAAAGGGCAAGGCAGGTGACTGCCGTCGGTCGAGTTGGATTTTCAGGGGCAGTACGGCAATTGATAGGGGCACCGACGTCAATTGCCGTCGGTGCCGTCGGTTAATTCGAGCCCTGGAGGTAACTAGTAACAACAAACTGATCTAGGTTCAATTTCTGGTCAATCCTAGTTTCTCTCCTAGTTCATTCTCTCCTCGTGGAGAAAGTTCAGCCATTCCTCTTATAATATTATTATATATATCTTATAAATAGGATCCTAGTTTCGGACCTCGGAAATACGTTTTCGCAAATGCACTAGACTACGATCGGGCCACGAAACGCGTCAGGAAAACCGTTTAATCGATCATTTGCGTCCTACCTTCGATTTGTGTCCCGCACACTAGAGGGCGCTTCAAGAGTACCGCCTAGAATACGGTTGAGTTTAGAGGAGTTTACAGAGTTTGGTTCCGCCCGAGCGCGCTCACTTTAAACACACCTCTAGGCTCTATTCCTGTGAAGTTCTCTCATGCATGTAATCACAGTCAACGTCTTAGCCAGCGAGCCATGCAGCCGTGATTTGCACGGTCAGTTTTGAAACTGCACGGCCAAAAATGTGTAGCACGGCCTAAAATATTGATCTAAACTCAGTAGATCCCAAAAAATTGCACTTGCAAATATTTTTTCTGCACTCCCACAATACTCATTCCTGGCTAATACCCTGGGGCCCATTGTCAAAAAAAAAATTTATCTTAACATTAGTCTTTTAACATTAACTTTTTCTCTTAGACCGTTGACAGAAACGCTGCGAAGTTACGAGAATGAAAAATCGTAGCAGATTTCCTCGTAACAATACGAAACAAAGTGACGTTGACGGTCTAGGAGAAATTGTTAATGTTAAAGGCTCACAATGCTCATCCAAACGCTAATTTCTCCAGTACTAGACTAGCAAATACTTTGTGTCATGCATAATCATCCTACCTTATGGCAAAATAAACTCTAGTTCCTCCCATTTCACTGCGCGTTGTCTTATAAAAGGTATTTTGAAAATACCTCCAATGTTGTTGAAATTCTCCGATGTTGTTGACAGTTTCCCCAATCCCCATTCAACCGTGCAGCGGTGCTGCGGTACAGCGGTACGGGCGCAGCAAAGATAAA